GTGCATTTATAGACACTTGGCAAATAATTCCATCACCTACATTTACTTCTTACAGAAACGCGTTTCGGGCTTTCGCCCCTCTTCAGTCTGTTACGTCGATAGTTGTGACTTGTGTGTCCGTACTTCCCGCTCCCTTCCCCTCCCCTCTTTTTTCCCGACTTGACGGACTCCCCCGCATGCCTCGTAATTTGTAACATTACCCTTCTCCGAGTGTTGCACACAGCCTCGCCTGCGACTGTATAAACATTCTATTTTATTTTAATAATTGAAGCCAGTTTTTATGGATGTCGATGCTAAGGTTCTTGTTAATATTATTTTTGTCTATGGTAATTTCGTAGCTTTCTTTGAATTTCCTTTTGTACCAATTTTTTTCTTTGTGTACTATTGTTGCATCCTTTTTATCTCTTTTCAACTATCGACGTAACAGACTGAAGAGGGGCGAAAGCCCGAAACGCGTTTCTGTAAGAAGTAAATGTAGGTGATGGAATTATTTGCCAAGTGTCTATAAATGCACCAAGTCGTGACATAGAATCAGAAGAAACAATTTTATTTTAAATTAATAATAATATAATATTAATTGATATATAATTTATATTTTAGCAAATATCAATACTATATTAACGAATTGTATGACATTCGATATAAATCATTCTATAGAATATATTATCTATGCTTAAGTTGTAAAGTTATTCATTCTGCAAAAATCGATTAAAAATCGAGACAGATATTCTTGAAACGTAAATTTAAAACGTTTCAAATATGAACAATATTACAATTCCAGCAAAGTATTTTAATATATAAACACCTTTAATAGTAGCTGAGATCCTACTGTAGTACACAATACGTTTTGAATATTTATTTTTTCTTACATATATCTTGAATACGAAAACTTAATTTATTTAATTTGTTTTAAATAAAAGAATATTTAAAAACAAGAAATGTAAAAATAGAAAAAAGTTTAAAATATTTAAAATTAATTTTTTAATATCTTTGTCTTTACTTGAAATTCGAAAGACCAAGCTCAATTAAAGTTTATGAGAGACATTTTAAAATGAAAATAGATAAATAAATAAAATAAAAATTACTATCAATTTTTTTAATTTATTTAAGTTAAAAATTTAATATATATAAAGGTTTGTTATATCATAAATAGTTACCATGCATCAAAACTATCTTCAAAAATACACGCTACTAGTTATATTCGTAGAAATATTAATATAGATGTATGCCTATATGGAACTTATATATTGTATTATGTAATAGTATATATACAAGCCAATTAAAAATTGTTTAGAGCTTAAACATATTTAATTTATTGGCTTTGTAGATGCTTAGGCATTGAAGATAGGTAGCATTTATTGTGTTTCCTATTGTGTTATAACGTTTTAGTAGATGACATAATAAGTGGAATGCTATTGTATGATACCTTGCTACAGTTTAATTAAAATGTGTATATTTTTTATCTTCTCGGTATCAAAAACAAATTATAGGCTTATAAATGCATTTTGCTTTAAAAGTCGACAATTTTAAATTATCTCGTCTTTTTAATATATTTCCGTTTTCGTATCAATTGAATAGGAACGTATAGGCTATAAGAAACCTTTAAATTTACTTTGAATCCATAATTTTTCTCTTACAATTAAAAAACTCGAATAGCTGGCGAGTTGTCGGTTGAAAAATATAAAAATACAAAAGTATTTGTACAGTTAATTTAACATTGTAATTATAACTTTTAGATCTACAGTAGTTACGTTTAAATTTAAAATTAAGCAAAATTAGAACATTTATATTTAAATGTTAAAATAGTTATAAAATTTTATACAAGACAATTAAATTACAGTATAAGAACATTTAAATATTTCTAGTTTCTTATAGGAAGGAACTAGAAAATTCTAACAATTTTTATATATAATGCATATCGACATTTTAAAACATAAAAAATAAAAAAAACTAACCGTTTAAATATGGATATTACGGGAATTTTTCTTCTCGACACGATCAAGAAGAAATTATTAAGAAGAAATTAGATTGTGGAGTAATAGTAAATCGAAGAGTATAATAGAACCAAGAACGAAGTTAACGACAACGTCCACACTCATTCTAGAAGGTTTTAATACAGTTTTTTAGTCAGTCGCCATGACGACGTCGCCCCTCGCGTGTCTCAAATTAAAATTCGTGCACGAAACACAATGCGTCCGCCCAGTTCAATAAACAATAAATACTATAACACAGGAGTATCCAGTTTTTCTTCTACATTTTGACGAGTGTACAACTCGTTAAATTGTAGAAGGAAACTTCTCGATCGAATTAATTCGATTTTCCATCAATTTTCGATTTTTCTAAAAGTAAGATCTTCAAACGCATTAACAGTTAATGCAAATTATCTCGAATATCTGGCGAATGTCATACTTATGAATGTTTAATTAATGTTATTCTTCGGTAGTTGTACATAGCAACTACCATAATATTTAGAAGTAAAAAGGAATTGAAAATGTATTTCCCATTTAAATTAATATAAACAAATTCGTTGACAAATTTCTAAGGAAACCAATAATAAACTTCTCAAAATCCTATCGTCGCGTGATCCCTATTTTATTGGACTGTTAACATCTAAATTCCAGTTCTCCGGAAAAAATTTATTTTGTGATTATTTTCTATGTTTAAATGGCAAAAGAATTAACTATCGTTAGATTAAAACAAAACAAACAAAAAAAAAAAAAACAAGTGCAACAGAACTTTGTTTCTGAATTCAATTCTACCCAAAAGATAAAATCATCTTGACCATTTTTGAGTTTCCGTGAAATATCACTTAGCAAACGATACATGTAAACAGGTCACGAAGAAAATCTTATAGACCTATATATTTAAATACTGTCTTCCATCGATCGTTGCATAGATAATATCGAGAACAATAATCTCTTCTATAGCAGCTTATAAAATATAGGACTGTTTAGCGGGTTCATATCTTAAAATTATTCATTTAATTTCTGATAATTAATGAAATTCAAAAATGTTTTCAATATCACTTTGATTTTATTACTTTTTTTTATAATTTAATTCTTTAAAGTACAAATAATTTCTTCAGACTCAGTGACTCCGATTAATAAATACTGGGAGAAAACGCACATAGAAGAACAATTTAACCACGTTATAAAGTCTCCCAGATAAAAATGATTTTATGGTCCATACATACATAATAATTTTATGACGTTACAAAATCAGACCCTTATTTTTGTAAATTATCGGATTCATACAGAAAAGTATCACCGATAAATTAGTTTCGTGACCAGCATTTGTATTCGTTACGTCGAGGATTGTTCTCTATTGAAATGAAAATTCAATTTAGAGAAAATCCCACTACTGAACAGATGTTAATATTTTTATTTAAATTAACTATTTACATTCATAACTTATAAAATATAAAATTTTCTACCTTAATCATAAAATACAAGGAATGAACTTTAACGAATCTGTAAGTAACACTAGAGATTAAACACATTTATAGAATACGAAGGAAACAAGCACTTCATTTAAGATATAAGCATTTTGTTGCAAACATATCCAATTTTAACATCATAAATGGCATAAAATTAATATTATTACTGTATTAAGTGTTTCGTACTTACTCTTTTTTCTGTAGTCCAATATTCCGTTGAGTAATTCAGACGTTATTAGGCATATTAATATAGATGTATGCCTATATGGAACTTATATATTGTATTATGTAATAGTATATATACAAGCCAATTAAAAATTGTTTAGAGCTTAAACATATTTAATTTATTGGCTTTGTAGATGCTTAGGCATTGAAGATAGGTAGCATTTATTGTGTTTCCTATTGTGTTATAACGTTTTAGTAGATGACATAATAAGTGGAATGCTATTGTATGATACCTTGCTACAGTTTAATTAAAATGTGTATATTTTTTATCTTCTCGGTATCAAAAACAAATTATAGGCTTATAAATGCATTTTGCTTTAAAAGTCGACAATTTTAAATTATCTCGTCTTTTTAATATATTTCCGTTTTCGTATCAATTGAATAGGAACGTATAGGCTATAAGAAACCTTTAAATTTACTTTGAATCCATAATTTTTCTCTTACAATTAAAAAACTCGAATAGCTGGCGAGTTGTCGGTTGAAAAATATAAAAATACAAAAGTATTTGTACAGTTAATTTAACATTGTAATTATAACTTTTAGATCTACAGTAGTTACGTTTAAATTTAAAATTAAGCAAAATTAGAACATTTATATTTAAATGTTAAAATAGTTATAAAATTTTATACAAGACAATTAAATTACAGTATAAGAACATTTAAATATTTCTAGTTTCTTATAGGAAGGAACTAGAAAATTCTAACAATTTTTATATATAATGCATATCGACATTTTAAAACATAAAAAATAAAAAAAACTAACCGTTTAAATATGGATATTACGGGAATTTTTCTTCTCGACACGATCAAGAAGAAATTATTAAGAAGAAATTAGATTGTGGAGTAATAGTAAATCGAAGAGTATAATAGAACCAAGAACGAAGTTAACGACAACGTCCACACTCATTCTAGAAGGTTTTAATACAGTTTTTTAGTCAGTCGCCATGACGACGTCGCCCCTCGCGTGTCTCAAATTAAAATTCGTGCACGAAACACAATGCGTCCGCCCAGTTCAATAAACAATAAATACTATAACACAGGAGTATCCAGTTTTTCTTCTACATTTTGACGAGTGTACAACTCGTTAAATTGTAGAAGGAAACTTCTCGATCGAATTAATTCGATTTTCCATCAATTTTCGATTTTTCTAAAAGTAAGATCTTCAAACGCATTAACAGTTAATGCAAATTATCTCGAATATCTGGCGAATGTCATACTTATGAATGTTTAATTAATGTTATTCTTCGGTAGTTGTACATAGCAACTACCATAATATTTAGAAGTAAAAAGGAATTGAAAATGTATTTCCCATTTAAATTAATATAAACAAATTCGTTGACAAATTTCTAAGGAAACCAATAATAAACTTCTCAAAATCCTATCGTCGCGTGATCCCTATTTTATTGGACTGTTAACATCTAAATTCCAGTTCTCCGGAAAAAATTTATTTTGTGATTATTTTCTATGTTTAAATGGCAAAAGAATTAACTATCGTTAGATTAAAACAAAACAAACAAAAAAAAAAAAAAAAAGCGCAACAGAACTTTGTTTCTGAATTCAATTCTACCCAAAAGATAAAATCATCTTGACCATTTTTGAGTTTCCGTGAAATATCACTTAGCAAACGATACATGTAAACAGGTCACGAAGAAAATCTTATAGACCTATATATTTAAATACTGTCTTCCATCGATCGTTGCATAGATAATATCGAGAACAATAATCTCTTCTATAGCAGCTTATAAAATATAGGACTGTTTAGCGGGTTCATATCTTAAAATTATTCATTTAATTTCTGATAATTAATGAAATTCAAAAATGTTTTCAATATCACTTTGATTTTATTACTTTTTTTTATAATTTAATTCTTTAAAGTACAAATAATTTCTTCAGACTCAGTGACTCCGATTAATAAATACTGGGAGAAAACGCACATAGAAGAACAATTTAACCACGTTATAAAGTCTCCCAGATAAAAATGATTTTATGGTCCATACATACATAATAATTTTATGACGTTACAAAATCAGACCCTTATTTTTGTAAATTATCGGATTCATACAGAAAAGTATCACCGATAAATTAGTTTCGTGACCAGCATTTGTATTCGTTACGTCGAGGATTGTTCTCTATTGAAATGAAAATTCAATTTAGAGAAAATCCCACTACTGAACAGATGTTAATATTTTTATTTAAATTAACTATTTACATTCATAACTTATAAAATATAAAATTTTCTACCTTAATCATAAAATACAAGGAATGAACTTTAACGAATCTGTAAGTAACACTAGAGATTAAACACATTTATAGAATACGAAGGAAACAAGCACTTCATTTAAGATATAAGCATTTTGTTGCAAACATATCCAATTTTAACATCATAAATGGCATAAAATTAATATTATTACTGTATTAAGTGTTTCGTACTTACTCTTTTTTCTGTAGTCCAATATTCCGTTGAGTAATTCAGACGTTATTAGGCCCAATTGAAAAGAAAAATTTGCGTTGCTTTTGAACTATTTCTTCGAAAAATAGAATAGAATATTATTTTAAGTAAATATATTTTTACAGTTTCTATATAAACGGATTATACAAAAGGAATACAAACCTCATCAAATCTCTATAATATATATTAATAAAACATTTTAATAATAATAACGTGGATAAAGAACCATACGCGGTTAACTGTGAAACCGTAATTTTTGATTACATAAAATTTTTGGTGGGAAAAATTTCCACCAAAAATATGCTATTTTATGTAACCGTTTGAAACTTTACATATCTGCTTATGATTCCAAATGGAACATGTTGAAAATAATATGAATAATCTATTATTGAAATAATCTAATAAATCTAATAAATAATTTATTATTGAAAAACTGCAAAATTTAGAGTTAGCCGCCTAAGGCTTTATATCAACAATATTTTTATGTCTAAAATATAATTAATAAGATAAGGGAACTCTGAATAAATATTCAGAATATTGTAGATTTTCTATTGGCAGTCTAGTAGTGAATCATGGAAGTTGAATCAATTGTGATAGAACACGTCACATAATATATAGTAAACCTCGTTAACTCAGATTAATAGGAGGTGAAAGCTATTCGAGTTTACGAAAGTCCGAATTAGAGGAGTGATTTCTCTGACGACATGAAAATCGAGAATGATGATATTTAGTATAGTAATTTATTTCGATCGGCTCTATACAGAAGTTTTACTGAGCTAAGATTATACTACCAAATTTATTATCACGGGAAAAGAACCCAAAAAATTCCATGAAAGTACAGTAACAATGTACAACATTAAAGACATGTACATCTAACAATGCACAGTCTTTAGTAACCTGGTTAAGCAAACTTTTTACAAATAGTTTCATGCTTGCCTTCAACTTGCTGTTCCATTCCACTTTAATTATGGCTAATACGACTCTCAAAATCTTGCAAATTAATGCCCAAAAAGGGCAAGCCGCTTCGTCCATGGTGATGAAGTTTGCCAATGACTTGGCTGACATTATACTTACTCAAGAACCCTATACTGTATAAGTGTATATGATTCTTTTGTAAGATTTGGCAACTGGCGTGTGATTAATAAGCATATTATCAACCAGAGGCCAAAATGTGGCATCATCCTTAGAAACAGTGACATA